AGCTAATTGATGCCACCTACAAGGGGAACTTGTCTCAGTTTATCAACCACAGCTGTGACTCAAACCGTGAAACTCAAAAGGTAGTTTAATAAATTGTTCAGTCCATTTTACCAGTTTATATTATGATCAATAATGCCAGCTTTTCACTTCTTTTTCCAGGGGTAATCTATAGTAGATTGATTGACAGGAAACTGAAAGAAAACACATCTACAGCTGTACTTAAATCCTTTAACCCTCAAGAGTGACTAGCATCTTATTTCTCCCCACAATATTACTCCTGAATCAAACCTGTAGGTCATGAGAATAAAGGAAATGATCAGTAACTGAAGAAGTTCTTGATTGTTGAACAAATTCTCCTTGTCAGCCCCTTAGGAATTGTTTAGAGAACAGTATGGAGAGTGTGCATACTGATGTTTGGGTGTAAAGGGTTAAGATAAGAACTGAGTGGGTTTTGTTCTTTTGCTTCTCATAGTGGACTGTCCAATTGGCTTGTTAAGGATTGCATTTTTTACTCAGAGACCCATCCCAGCTGGTGCAGAGCTCACGTTTGATTATAAACTGCAGCATTATGGGTAGATGGACAATGTACATGCTACTGTCAAAGCTTCATGTCTGTAGGTGACACTAAACTGAGAGATTTTAAAATTTAAGGAACTTTACAGCAGTCACACAGAAAGATGATCCCTTCTGAACTTGGGAGGAGAGGCTTACAAAAAATTCATAGTAAGTTATAATTTTTGTCATTAATCAGGAAAGTTGCTCAGATTTGCCATAATGTGAAGCACCAAATTGTCATGGATTTATTGGAGGAGACAAGCAAACACCTCTGAAGAACACAGTGGAAAGAATAAGTATGCAAAAAGATTTTTAATTACAACCCTGAGAGTGACCAGGATTTACTTTCTCCCTTTGATATCACCCCTGAGTCCCCCTTTTACCCGTTAACTCCCAGAAGTATTGAACATATAACTTCTCCCTTTAATATTCATACATTATCCAATAAACCAATAATGAGAATACTCAAACTGATCAGGTTTAAGTTTTTATCTCGATCTAACATCAAATTCTTGTAACTAAATTACTAGGAAATGTGTAGCAGCTAGAGGGGAGAATTAACAATCAGATCTTTTAAACAAACTCTTGTCAGCACCTTATGAAATGTATAGAGAACAGTACAGAGAATCTGCATACTGATGCTAGACTGTAGAGGTATAAGGTCACACAATTTAGGTGTAATTTGTGCTTTTCTTTTCTTTCTCTATGTAAGCAACCCCACCTATCACAAGCTCACAAAGGAGGAGACGTAAAAAGCAAACAAGGAATTTGTCAAATGAATTTGATGAAATGAATTTTGTTCTTTAGCTTGTCCCAGATGAGATTGCTCATTTGCATGTATGTTTTCTGTCATGAGATACAGAGTTCTATTAGTAAATAACCACTTGGAAGTGAAGGGGAATTCCCTTTAAAAATGGGCTTAAAAATGGGTCACAACTTTTGTTAAGGATATCGAACAAAAGAACAGCCTTTTTTATTAGATCAATTGTCAATTACTTTAATTTGTGTACCTAGTTACGATCGTAGTTACAATGTTTATCTTTTCCCTATTGGTTTGTAATCGGATCTTTTAGCGTCACCACGCGCATATAAAAGCTAAGATAGCGTCCCTATAAGCCAGAGTTTCGCAAGATTTCGCCTTGAACAGCAGTAACTTTGTTCTTTCGTTCCAAACCTTTGGCACAAGCGGGACCGATATGTAAGTGATTTTGTTAGTTTTATTTCAATATGTTTAAGTTTAGTTTTTCACCTTGGGCGATAGCGCACATATGTACTGTGTTGTACAACAGTACAACTAATTATCTTGAAATCAAAGGAGTATTTTGAAATAACTAGACGCTCACACAGTAACGCCCACATTTTAGTCTTTGGGCTGTTAATCAGCCGCAAATGGTCATCGTGTAGCCGATCTTTGAATCTCGAGTAGTTTTAATTTAGCCTTTTATGATTTGTTTATGTTAATTCACGTTAATTGTTCTTATTTTAATCGCGTTATCGACCTAGGCACGTAAAGCGTTTCTTTCATGCCTTTCGCACCAATTCAAGTAGATTCATGCATTCGTTATAATATTATTGTAATTTCAGTTTACGATTGTGATCGTGACCGTGATTTAAATAAACACCATTGATAGTCATCTTGGTTTTCGTGGTTTCATTACGACCGGTAAAATAGTCCCCACATCAGCGACACTTAGAAAACACGCATAGCGACACCCCTCGAAGTTTCCTCTTTCGTCGCAAGCGTCACAACTTTTGTCAAATTTGAGGCAGTTTTAGAAAATATGATCTAGCGTAATGATTGATGAAATTCCATATTATTTCACCTACCAGATTGCAAGTTGATGTCTATGATATGAATTTGCAACTGAACTTTGTGGCACTTTTTTTTGTTTCACAAAGCTGTTGTTACAATCAATTTTTTCACCAAAAGACATTATTCTCTAATTTTGTTTGGAAGATGAGGTTGAGAAACTTCCAGGTGATCACAGAGGGTTGGTACACAGTAACCAGGCATTGAGGCTGTCCAGATTGATGGTGCGGGCAGAGACTATGGAACAGAGGATAATGCTTCTGAAAATCCTACAGGTATTTGATAACCAGTTCCATGTGTCTCTTGTAGAATCCCTCTCAAAGAAGGTTGGCAGAATTAAATCTTGCTGAAAACAAGAGCTTTTATTCAAATGAAAAACTTGGCATAGAGTAGCATGTGTGGATTTTTATTCTTTGTGTATGGACTTGCTTAAAATATCCATGAATGGATTAAATAAAAGTTTGTATAAACAGGCAAAGTTGTTGGAAAATAGCTTTTAAGAGTACAAGATAACCACAAAAAGTATTGCGGGTAGTTTCCAGGTCACTGTCACTAGACTTCAGGATTTTACAGTAGCAAATCTGAGAAAGCGTCCCTGTAAGGAAGAGGCATGGTGGGTTTAATGAATATATTTATTTATTTGACTTATTAAAATTCATTGATCAACAAGTTTGTTTGTGTAATTTTGTCCTTTTTCCAACAACCTTTCTTGAAAACAGCTGTATACAGATGAAGAGTTACAGTCATAACATTCTGTAGCATATAAATGTGGTTTTTCAATTGCTTAAAATTTGTGCTCTTTGTCTACAAGTTTGTTTGATTGTTTTTTGTTTTGTTTTTATAGCACATCACAGACCAGTCATGTTTAAAAGGGTTCCTCAGGTATCAGGGGCTTTCTCTAATTTGGAGCTGGATGGTGGACAGTGGAGGAAAGAAAATGAAACTTCAGTTAGATGTGATGATCAATGTGTACTTTCTCCTTATTGAGTTATATAGTAGCTCAGGAGAATTACAGGAATGATCATTCCAGAAAATGTTCAACAAGAAAGCAAATTTGCTACACCAGTGTAGCAAGAATTGTATGCATGTCAAGGATTTGTTAGTGTTTCAACTATCAACATGCACAGTGTACATGTACAATGATGTTTGGTTTGTCAGAAATTTTGAAGAGAGACTGAAGGGGGAAGTCACAAGGGCAAAACTGTGGAATGGTATTCCTGAAGAGTATTTATGGAGTTAGGGTTTTTTGCCAATGATTATATATTTATCTCATATATAGTTTTATACAATGTGAACTGTTTTGCCGATGTATACATTTTTTTGTTGTGGGGTGTTACAGTCCTACAGGCTAAGAGACCACATCTGCTTGTGGTTATGCCTGCGTTCTTGTGCGTCAAGCAACTAGGGGTACGTTCACTGATCTATTACAACTTATCTATTCGCATTATTTCAAATCTTTCCCACTAGCTTGCCAGTACCCCTGGGGGGAGAGAGGCACTGTGGGAGTAAAAAAGGTGTCTCGGCTTGGAACACAACAACATGGCGGTCAAACGTTGGGCATGCGCAAGAGATCAATTATTGTCGGCTGTACGCCAATTTCCCGCGCAAAAGTCAATGGAAAACACGAAAACAATAATAAATCTCGCAAAATAAGCGGGAAAAAATTGGAACGTTCATAGAAATTTGTACAAGGAAACGAAGAGAGGGAAAAGGAAACCGAGAGAATTTTCAAACACAAAGCTTATTCAAGTACAGGTATCCTGTTGATTTTCTATTCTGTTTTGAATTTTCTATTCTGTTTTGAGTTTTCTTTTCTGTTTTGAATTTTCTATTCTGTTTTGAGTTTTCTTTTCTGTTTTGAATTTTCTATTCTGTTTTGAGTTTTCTTTTCTGTTTTGAATTTTCTATTCTGTTTTGAGTTTTACCAGAAAGGTTATACGTTTTTAAAACACCGTGAGTTACTAGCTGGTGTGGTTGTTTGTAACTTGTGCGAACTCGACTCAACAAACTAGAGCTTTACTTCAGAGTCTAACGCGCTAAAACTGGGGCATCTTTTGCCTTCTTTTTGTTTGTAGGAAGTTTACTGAATACCGAAGAAAACTGCAACTCTAGTAAGTATTATTAAAGTGACACTCGAAACAGTGGGCATTTTTTCTCTCCGTTTTTATTTATTTATTTTGTATTTTGTCTTCGTTTTAGCTTTTTTTTAAAGCCGATCGTTGATGCAAAAGGAGAGGGTGAAACTCTCTTGTTGAAAAAAAAAGAGAGTCTATTCTTAGTTAGCCAGAGTGTTGGTATCGCATTCCATTTTGCTGCTTTTAACTTTTGCAATTTGGTAGATGGTCTTAAATGTTGTTGTTGTTTGTTTGACATTCAATTGCATGATCGTCTGATTCTCTTTGTTCAGGCCAAGCAAGACCGTGTTGCCGAGTTGTTAGTCGCAGCTAGCCCAGCAGGTAGGTAAATTCTATTTTACATGATCGTGTTTATTGCTTGATTGATCAGTTTTTTGACCATGGAACCCTGATATAGTTACGCATTTTCATCAGAGGGTGAATTTTGTGTAAAACATGTGTGTGACAAAGTTTTTTTCAGATTTTATTTGTTGTTTCACGGGGGAAGGAGAAAGAAAGAACTTAACTTCCCATGAGGATCATCACAATTTGGAAAAACTGATTGTTAAAAAGTGATTAATTTGATGTTGTTTTTCAGGAAGTGGTGACGGTGATCATGCAAGGTGAGACAACAAATTGAATAAGTGATTGAAAAAAAGAACAGGTTTGAAGAATTTCTACGTTCAGAAGATGAATTTTTATACCGTCTGGGCTTGGAAATTAAGGGTTACCATTGATAGAGCGTTTTTCGATTGAGTGCCTTAAAACAAAACCAAAGTACTTATTATGGAAAGAAGAATGGAAAATACCCTGAAGAGCCAATGAGAACTCGGAGTAAAAACAAGCAAACCGCCCAAAAGGCAGGAAAATGCGGGCGACCAAGTCGTGATTGATTTTAGTTTTGCATCTGATTTGTCGAGAGAGTGACGCGAGTTTTTTCGGACCAATCATAGAGCAGAGTAGAGTAAAACCAGTACAAACCCAGATTACTTTGGAAACTCAATTAAAAGTTACTCTATTAATGGTCTTTGAATCTCTGATCTGATCTATGATTGTATTTCTGTAGGACTCCTATTGAGAACATCGGTTCTCCAGGAAAATTAGATGCCATCATGAAGAGTTTACAGGACTCCCCCAAGCCCCTCTATCCATCTGAATCCAGAACTCCGCCCGTTTCTCAGGGATTCTCTGCCTGTAGTGAAGACACTGAGCTGCCGCAAGACTCTTCGAGTGCTACCCCTCCGTCAGAAACTGGTGACTTCAGTGCTTTGGAATTCGGAGAAGACGTGGATACCCAAGCGGATTCAACTCCTGATAAAGGAGAAGGAACTCATTCAAGTTTACGCGTGTCGGATTCTGTTGAAGTTACTCAGAAACAAGCTTCGAAATCACAGACCATTATGCAGACATTAGGTTATCAACAGCGCATAAGCGTCGGTGTGGAGCATGGGATGGGCTCTTTCCAACATAAACCCGGCCGCAGCAAAAAGAAAAAGAAGAAATGGAATCAATTGCAGAACTTATTCTAGCAACAGGGAAGAAATCCTCAAGGATTGGTAGATAAAAACGCTGGGAACTTTAACGTGAATCCTCAAACAAACTTAAGACCTCAGCAAGGTACGGCAATCCAGTGGAGAGGTCAGTCGCAAAATCCCCAATAGTCTTAGCTTGTATTTAGGCGTTATTAACATTTCAAATCTCGGAGAATAATTGGAAGTACAAAGTTCTGTCGTTTCTGTTATGTCATTTATTAGGATGTGAAATAATTTATCTTCTCAAATGCATCCATGTAAAATACTTCATTCGTTTGTTCGGACAGTTTTCCGCCGGTTGCTATCTATGTGCTCTTGTGAATGTATTGCGTTTGTTTTTGATGTCGGTGCTGTGCGTTTTTCCTTGAAGGAAAGAGCTAACATTGAAGATAACTAGAGATAGGAACGAATCCGACTCCTTGTCTAGTTTGTAAATTATTTCACACAACTCTACTTTTACTTTTTAAAGTTCTGCTGTCACTGTGTTTGTCTGTCACCTTGCTTTTTGACCATTCAAATGAAAGCTACGGAGAAGCCCTTTCATGTGGGACTGTTTATTCTGCTGTCAAAGAGTTGTAGTACAGTCGTTGTAAACCTTGTTTTATTCTCCAACGTGTTTCGTCTAGTTGTCGTGGACTTCTTCAAGGATTTTTACGTTTAAACACTACACGCCGGTATTTATAAGCCATGGCCATTACGTGGGTCAAACACTATAAAGGCCTGGACGGATTTACGAACAGGAACTAGAGAAGTTGTAGAAAAGTTTTAAGGCAAGGTGACAAAAAGATTAAAAACCGTGGCTCCCAAATCTTTTTCTCACTTTCAGCTTAAAACGTTCTTCACGTAATAACCATAACTGCCAACTATGGCTGATAAATACGGGCCTTTAATGTTCACCAGTAAAACTCTCTGAAGAAGTTTACGACAGTTAGACGAAACGCTTCGGAGAGTAAAAGAAGTCTTACAATAACCGTTCGCAGAGTGCTGTTCGCTGGTTTGTTTGAAAAGTAAAAAAGCTTAAAATAGTACCACGCACGACCCAGTAATGTAATTGTTATACAATCCAAGCTGATAAAAGCGCGAAGACAAAATGTTCCGCTGGTAACATGTCACTATCCTATGTACAGTCGCCCTCTACACTCCAAAAGAAAATTGGGAAGGGGCCACTTCCTGATTTTCTTTTGGAGGGTAGGTGGCGGCAGTACACTGGCTTCATGCCACAGCTTCCTGACCATACAGCGCCATTACTGTTTCCTTATAGCGTGACATTCGACGAGTCTTGTCCGTGACAAAAAAAACTTCGTTGGCGCACGTACACAAGAACAAAATGAAACATTTCTAACGATGGCAGAGATTCAAGTTCCGAACTTTTTATCACAAGCACAATCCAAAATTAGGTCGCAAAATATTGATGAAAACCGCAAACCATTAACATTTCGCTCTGAATCCAAAATGCGTAGAAAGATAATCTCCAAATCCGCCGATTCGTTTCCCTATTCACCCCTCTCGTCCCAGCCTTGCCAAAATTACGCCTGCTCTGCAGGCTAACATTCCAAGAGTGACCTTTCAAATGAAAGCTACTTAGCAATATTTTCATGAGGCTCTCTTTATCATGCTTGACTTGGGGTCCTTTAAAATTTAACTCTGACTTGTGACTTAAACCATTCAATTGATAGCTGATATGGTGCCACACATCTTTGTGATGTACCACGTGATTTTAACTCTAGTTTTTCAAGAACCCGAGTGTTTCACCAATGCCTTTGAAAGGGAACTCAAGTGAACCTTTATTTTCCGTGACGTTGTTTTTCATGGATAAGTTGCAAGAATTCGTAATTCTCTCTAACGAAGGGCTAACGCTCGTAACGTCAGCTTTGAAACTCTTCACAGTGGCCAATTCATGTTATCAGCTCAGTTGATGAATTACCTTCAGTTGTCATACTCTCCCACCGAGGCAGCACCACATTTTCTTTAGAGACTTAATCCCTTTATTTAATCGAAAAACAGACGTAACACGTAACACAATCGTCAGTCAAGGGAACCTCTTCATACTGATCCGTTTCATGTTCGAAATGACTCAGCTTTCAAATATTCGCTGCAGCGTACACAGCTTCAGATAACCACAGAAGTGTTTCATTTTGACCCACTTTCCCGCCGACGACGCACTACAGTTTCTCAAAACTACTGACGAATAACCTCGTTCACAAACTTAGTCAGATTAGTTCTCTTCTCAGAAAGCGGCAGCTGGTTACTGAAAAATATGTACACCGTTCACAAAGTTGGGTGACCACCAGAAAAATATATTGGACTGAGAACAACGATAATGAGGCGAGCGTTTTCACGTCCATCGATTTGAGAGCCGTTTTCTCCCACAGAGTTTCCAGTAAAGCTATTATCTACCTCAACACCGAATGAGTTATAGGCTTATCCGTAGAAAACAAAGAAAAAAAAGAACAAAAAAGAAGTGGGCTGTCTGAAAAGACCTATTTCAGGTTTTTGCAAATTTTCGAAAATTTGGTGGACAATTCCTAGTTAAACTAACTTATCGGAACTCTTATAAAGAGATACGCTACACGCTGTCTTGTTTCAAATTAATAAACTTAGATGTCTGATAAGCATTTTACAGAAATGCTTTCCTCTGTGTATCGATTCAAGTTGTCCTTCGCAGATGGCGTCCTCTTTTTATAGGCTTGTAATTAAATAGTTCTGAGCTTTACTAAATCTAGTTCATTCTGCTACAGAGGTTTTATCAAAGTCATGGCTCTTAAGGTGCGCTAGGCACCGGCCAATTTCCAAAATCAAATGTCACGTTGTCGCCCATGATCATAAATGGTGTCCATTGAGAAACTTTGTCAAAGCCGTTATTTCTCATCCACTTCCTGGCCTTGTGGAGAGACTCACTGGCGCTTTCACCGCGGAACAAATGTTTGTAGAAACAAGTCATGAACTGCTCTGTGGCTGTGTCATCCAGGGCCCATCGTGCCGCCAACACTGAACGAGCTCCGGATCCCAAGAACGCTCGGGCAATTCCAATTACTCCTTCGGTTCTAATCTGTCCACAAGCACTGTGACAACAACTAAGCACCACTAGTTTAGCTCGCAACCGAGTCTTTGAAATATCTTCCATCGTCAAAAGATACTCTTCTTCTCGAGGAAAAGGTGGGAGTAGGGTAGGGTGCCTAGGAGAAAGAGTAATCTCCCCTCTTTCGGCATCATCATGGGCAGCGATGTGTATCAGACTCACTGAATTTATCGCTTGGAGTACAGAATGCTTTGTCGCGGAATCTCTTATCAAAGGCGTTACGCCAAGAAGTGTTCCAATCATCTCTGCTTCCTTTCTTGCACATGGCAATGGTGTCATATCTCGGCACCTCCCCTTGTAAATCACCTTTCCAACCACAGGGTCACCCACTATCAGTGCCCCAGTCTCACTGTGATAGTCTGGAGGACTGTCTTGAACAAGCTTGAGAGTCGTGAGAGAGGGAACTAGCCGAATCCTGCATGTCTCTGATAAATACTTGACTCCTTCGTCAGCCAAGGCAGCAAATGGCACTTGGTACACACAGGAATCAGGGACAATTATGATCTCGGGCTGCTTCAGTAAACTGGCCACAGGAGCGATGATTATGTTGTAACACAAGTGAAGACTTGTTTTGAAATCTTCGGCATCGTAGTCACGCAGCACTGAGCGGTTGTCGTAGTGAAGTGACATCAGTTCGGTGTCATCTAAAGATCGATCTTCGCAACACTGTACGGGTAAAATGGCGTGGCTGCGAAAGGCTTCTTTAAAGAAGTCATCTAACTCAGGGACTATTCCAGTCACCTTCTTTTTGTCCAGGCTCGCTTCCTTTTCTGAAAAATGAATAGCTCCGGTTGCTTTAATGATCCAAAACCGTACCCCATTTTGACCAACCGAAATGTACAGGCATGCACAGTCTGCTTCTTTTGTGATGATCCCTTGAATACCGCACCAAGATTGTCTATCGCTCGAGATCTGCTCTTGAACAGAGTACCGAGCTGCCATCAGGTCGGCCAGGCCTCTTGCCCTTTTAAGCTCTTCGACATAAAGGGCGTCTTGCGGCTTACCAGTGGAAGAAAGCAACCAACTGAACAACATGTAGGGAAAGGTGCTGTGCTCTTCTAAAAGAGATATTTGAAACTGATCGTTTTCTTTAAGAAAACCTCTCAAAGTGTCGAACTTTTGGATGCCTTGAAAAAGATACGAAGAAGCCTCTTCAAGATTACATTGTGACACCTTAAACACCGATAGATAACGAAGAGAGTAAAACTCGTGCAAGTGTTGTCCAATATCCCTACTTAATAGGAGAGCCTGCTTAAAGTACTCTTCGGCTATGTCATTTTTACCAAGCGATGTAAAACACAATCCTAAATCGACATAGATTACTACTACTCCTTCTCTCTCGCCGATTTCCATGTGAATTGTGAGGGCTTTCTCGTAATATTCTTGAGCCTTGTCATATTCACCACGCTGACAAGAAATTTTACCAAGATGTCTGTAAACTGCCGCTTCTCTCCTTCTATCTCCGATACCCTCTCTAACTGCCATTGCCTTCTTTAGATAGTCGTCAGCCTTTGCATACTTGCCGAGCGAGAGAAACAAACATGTGGGTTTCCATAATTACTTGCCTCTCCTCTTTTATCACCAAATTTTGGATACGCAGTGCTTTCTCCATACACTCTTCAGCCTCGCTATATTGGCCAAGGCATTAGAACAAAGTTCCTATGTTTCCGTAGAATTTTGTTTCTCCATCTCTGTTGCCAATTTCTATTTTAATAGCGAGTGCTTTCTCCTGATATTCTAGGGCCTTGTCATGATGTCCAAGTGATTGGAACAAAGTTCTCGGGCCTAGTCATATTGACTGAGTGAGTGGAACAAAGTTCTTAAGTTTCCATAGCTTGTTGCTTCTCCATCCCTGTTGCCAATTCCTGTATCGATAGCCAGTGCTTTTTCCAGATATTCTCAGGCCTTGTCATATTGACTATGCGATTGCAACGTTGTTCCGAGGTTTTTGTAACATTGTGCCTGGCCTTTTGTGTTTCCTATCGTTTTCGTGATGTTTTGATTGCTGATTCGTAAAATTTCCAGGCCTTCATGAACTTACTTTGTACCTGAACTATTGTTGCCAGGAATAAATGTAGCCATCCTTTTTCAGCGGTGTCATTACAGTCTTTTCTGTACTTGTGTAATCCTTTATATAAACGTAAGCAAAGGTTATTTTCATGTAGAAGGCACGGAACGTAGTGTTTGCCAATGAACCATCGATAGCCAGCACCTGACTGTGTAATTTAATCAAACATTCCTTGAACACCTCGATGGCCTGCAACACTCGACTAGTTTTTCGAAGGAATTCGGCGACCACTATACCTATGAAGATAGCTAATAAAGCTTCTTCTATGCTGTCCATCTTGACCCTGTTTCTTCTCAGTTTGAAAAAAAAAAGAGAAATTAGGGAAAAGTTATACACAGATTGTTGGTAGAAAATCTCTTTAGTTGCAAATTGCAATTTTTATCTTCCTCTCCCCGCCTTGTATTCTTTTTGTATTCACGCGCGGTGCAAGTGATTTCACAATTCGCATATCAGGTCCAAGAACTCTAACGTTGACATTGGAAAACTGACGTGGACATTTTTCGCAAACTTTTATTGCTTGTTTTAACGGAGTTTAGTTGATTGTTTTTGAGCTTTCGTTCGCGCAATTTTTTAACTCTTTGTTTTGACTTTTAAGAAGTTTCGGAGTTTTTATTTTAGCTAAATGTCATGGTTCATTTAACAAGTTTCATACATCTTTTCTACGGAGTTTGGACTCAAGCCTCTTTTTTCGTAGATGGACTTTTTACATTATCCATCAAAGAGGAACACACCTTTGCCGTCTGTTCTACTGGGGTGTTCGTTACACTGTCACGCGAATCACGCAAATCAGAGACAAACTGGGAAAATAAAACCGGCGATTTCCTTAGTCTATGTCAAGGCAAAATAATGGAAGCGAATCAGTTGTTTTCATAGACAGAACTTACCACAATCTGTAGCCTTCAGTGCCCTGCTTTGAAAATAATTTTAACCATCTCTTTTCGTCCTTTGAATTTTTTCCAACACACGTCATACGTCAGTCACATCAAGCAGCCAATAAAATGTGATTGTCTATTTCTGTTCGACTGTCGATTCCGTAATCATTCTCTTTCCCAGGCCTGCTGAACGGTTAAACATAAGCGTCATTGGAAAAGGTCCTTTAAGTATTATCAAATACCTATTAATTTTGTCCGCTCGTCGTCAGCCGATTTACGTAGGATTTCTGTTAAACCAAGCGCAGGGCAATCTTTTATTTGTGGAGCGTCATTCCATTGTATGCACCGAGCGCCTTTTCACTGACAACTTACTTGACGTGGAAACTGAGAGAAACTACCCAACATGAACATGGAAATATCTCCACCGTCAAATATGGATTAATGGACAACCTGTTAGCTTATGCGCCAAGTGAGGAAAACGAATGAACTCGCTCCAAGGACAACTGGAGAAGAAGCAAGGAAGTAAATTGATTTGTTTGTTCTCATGTTAATTGTCTTGCAGTAATTCGTTAGGATCTTCTCTCAGCCTTCGGGTCCTTTTCGAGTGAGCGGTGACAAGCCTGGGGCGAGCTAGAGGAAGCAGGTGAGGGTGCCGAGCCTCAGATCGATGCGTTTGGACGATTCTTTCAGATTTCTGATGGGATTACTACGTTTTCATGACAAGGGAATTTATAGGTATTCAATAGTTTTCCATGTAGATATTTGTGTTTTTAACCCTAATGAACCCCGGGGGTGACCAGTTTTTAATTTCTCCTCACAATAATACTACCGAGTCATTCTTTAAGATAATGAGAATATGGCAAATGATCACCAACTTAACAACCTTTGATTGTTAAACAAATTCTCCTTGTCAGTACCAGAGGAATTATACTGAGAAAAGTATGGAAAACATTGATACTGATGTTAGGGTGTAGAGAGGTTTAAGTTTCAGATAATGCTAAATGATCACATTCCTTCTGGCATTAATAACAAATCAGAAAGCACATCTCGCACACCAGTACTTTCTATAGATGACACTTTTTTTTGGCAAAAACCAGCTCTTTCCGGTTTTTTTCTTTCTTCAGGGTGCAGAGACTGAAGAAGTTTTCCTCACTAACAAATTACAGTATGTTTATATTTTCTGTTGTTTCTATCCGCTGGATGAAAAGACGGTGACATGGTGTACACTCAAATAAAACAAATTTATTAAAAACTGGGTAGGAAATAATACATTTATCCTTTCAGGCCCCCAATATCTCAGTAGTAATTCTTCTTACTGTCTATTATACAATTATTATTATTTTAGTTTAGAGAATTTTGTATTTGATCAACTAATAATACCTAATTGAAATTTTTTTTTATTCTCATCACTTGTCTGCTTGATATTGTATTAATATGGTTAGGAGAAAGTTTGTCTTGGTCATTTACAATGTATGAGAGTTGAAGGTTTACATTGACACGAGATATAATTCTCAACCAATTGTTCACATTAGCAAAAAATAAACAAATCAATGCTAAGAAATGTTTCTTTTTTTATTGCTTATGTTTTCCAAGTTACTGGCTAGTGTTAAAACTATTTCCGTGGCTGTCGTGAACACATGAATAGAAGCCACTAAAGAACTGAAACCATCAACTCAACATAGCTAGACATAAATCTTCAAAAAAAAGTTCTGATTTTAAGGTAAACATAATTAGTACTAAAGTTTATCACAAAAACAGTGTTCTTAGTTAGATCTGAATCAGCCTTCACTTTGATAGTTGTTTTCTAGATCTTACTTGGTGATAAGAGTAAACTTATATACATGCAAACCCCAATGCTAAGGAGTAAGGTCTAGAAACCATGCATGTGTATCTGGTCTGGTTTGGCCAGTTTCAGCTGTTTCAGAAAATCACTGATATTCTGATGCTGGTCACCTTGTAGCTGTATCACCTCCCCATATTTTGGGTTTTAAAAAACTGTTCCATTGCAGTTGAATTCCTGCAAAGGCGAAAAAAAGAAAAATATTGAACACGTGACCCTCATTGTTTCAGGGGTAGTTACCCCTTTCTACTGCACTTTCATGCTACAGCTTGCTTGCATTCAGAATATGGTGGTTTCAGAACACATCTGTGAAACAGGACATGTTCCTGTTTAGGACCAAGTTAAGTGTATTGATTATGGCTCTCCCTGTAACACATGAAGGGTTAGAGAAGCCAGCCACATTAGATTTAATCCTAATAACACCAATAGAGACAGCAGAATTGAAAGGGAATATAAGATGTAAGATTTTATGCCACTATCTCAGTCGGTAGATTAATTCTAATAAATTGATATATAATTAAATCATATTACAGAATTGAAATTCCTTAAGCGTGGATGCCTACTATAAAAGAGCGTGATAGCCGATCAGTAACAAAGTGAACCTGTAAGGGAACAACGTCCAATACTCAGAAAAATAATGAGGTTCAAAATACACCAATGACAGCGTGCCATAACCCACCAATAACATCAAATCAAAGTGCTAAAAATAGTGACACATAAACTTCTAACTTCCTCACCTGACGGTCGTTAGATAACGGCGTAATATGCGACTAACACTGTCTATAGACTGTACGATTTTACGCCATTATCTGCGTTAGTGTATATACTGTAAGATTTTAAGCCGTTTACTAACGATGTATATATGTAAGATTTTACGGCCAGTAACTAACGGCGTAATTTCTTCCAGTCGGTGATGTATATATGCAAGATTTTACGGCCAGTAACTAACGGCGTAATTTTTTCCAGTCGGTGATGTATATATGCAAGATTTTACGGCCGGTAACTAACGGCGTAATTTCTTCCAGTCGGCGATACATATAATGTAAATTTTACGCCAGTAATATAATTTACATTACATATTAATTTATTATAATTAATTTACCGACTGAGATAGTGGCGTAAAATCTTACAGTATATAGACTGCGGTAGTCACATATTACGCCGTTATATACATCCCCCTTTGAAAAGCCTCTTCTTTTCAATTGAGTATTCTTGTGCATTTCCTCTTCGTTTGTAAGGTCTTCTTTGTTTTTGATGAAGGATTCGGTGAAAGGGAAAAAAACCGGCCAGATAATTTTATTTTGTTGAAAAATGAATGTACTTATGCAAAAATTTCGGCCTCTGTATCACCCCCCCGATATGTGGGCAGACGGCAGCACCCAGTAGGAGAGGCTCGCGATTCTCATCACTAGTTTCTCCGCGTCTATACTTGGAACGCCTTGGAGGAAAACGACTTTGTAACTGAAGCTCGATTAGTGAGGTTTTTATCCTTATCCTAGGGAATAATACCAAACAGAAACAGCTCTTAGAGAGATTTACAGGACATTAATGAGGTCCTATTCTGTTCTTTGGTCCTCATCAAAGCTGCTTGACTAATGTGCAGAACATCTGGGAGAGCTTTTGTTTGTGCCATAAAATCACATGGAAACCATCAAATTAAGCAACGGTGGTTCGCTACCCGCTCTTGGTCTTGGGACATGGAAAAGCAAACCAGATAAGGTCACCTATGCCGTAGAAATGGCGATAAAAGCTGGATACAGACACATTGACTGCGCAGCGGTTTATGGCAATGAAAAAGAGGTCGGACAGGCTTTAAAGTCTTGTATCGGAAAAACGGTACAGAAATGTTATGGACTGATTCTCTCTGATTCTCTCTGACCCTCAGTCAGTAAAGTCGAGCGAAAGAGCGGGCTGGGAAAGCGACAAACTTACAAAATATCGCAAAAAAAATGTTGAAAGTTTTTGCAGAGCTTTTATCCGGTCTAGATTTGCCTATTATGTTTACATAGCTTCTTTCACCGCAAAAGGACGTGCTTGTGCCTACCAAGGAGCGAGAATATACATACTGATGTTGAGTACGAAGGGTTAATTAAACCCTCAGCATTTCTTGTTGCTTCCCTGACTGTTCGCTGGTGCAGTCAGTTCTGGGTTCAGAAAAATACGGTGAGCGATGAAATACTTGGCTTAGAACGCAACACAACAATGCAGCCAGATCTTGAAGCCAGACTTCTTCAGCTGAATTGGATCTCCTTCACAAAGGACAGGGATTCATTTCTTTCCTTGTTTTGTAGGTGAATAGGAAAGATTTGTTCATCACATCTAAGTTATGGAACACAAAGCACAACCCTACTGATGTGCATTCTGCTGCAGAGCAAACTCACTTAGGACTCAATTATCTTGACTTGTATCTCATACACTGGCCTGTATCCTTTAAGGATGGTGATGTCAGTTTTCCAAAGGATGATGATGGAAATATTATTTATGCATACCATGATCCATGTGATACTTGGAAAGCAATGGAAACACTTGTGGATGATGGTCTTTTCAAAGCAATTGGTAAAGACTACTTTCATGGGATTTCTAACAGATGTAATTATACAAATCTCTGAGATTTCAGAAATAAATTGGCTCTTATTGTTGAAGCCTTAATCTCAGTTTTTGTGAGGTGAATGGGTAAAGGTCAAAGGTAAAATTCTGAAAATGGGTAAATGGCTAAAACTCGGTTCAGACGTCATACTTCAGCCATGCCAAACTTAATTGCAATTAGGAAATAATTTATTAATTTTGTTTGGCTTGGTAGAGGAATGATGTTTGAATTGCTGTTGTGTCAGAGTTGTGCAGCTCTCTTAGTCACGGAGCAGAGCCTCATGAACTTAATTCTTTACCTAACTAAATTAAAAAGTTTAACTCAAATGCTGTGCTTCAGCCTTGCTTTTCTTGAACTTAAGCACTGAATGAAGTGTGTCATAGCAGCTGCATGGTGTCTGAATGAGACCTCATTTTGCTAGCAGAGCCTGATTTCTATAACCTAAAGCTACCAGCACAACAAAGGTTTCACCTCACCCCATCCTCCTGCATTTGATCAGGTTTCCCTCATAGGTGGCAGAAGGTACCCATTTATGCTCCTGGGTGGAGAGAAGTACTGTATCACAAAGCTGCCAGTACATCACAGGGTTTACACCACCCTACTTCCCTGCATTTCATCAGGTTTCCCTGATAGGTGGCTGTAGGTACCCATTTATACTCCTGGGTGGAAAGAGGCACTGTTTCACAAAGCTACCAGCACATCACAGGGTTCACCCAACCCCCCCCCCCCCCTCTATTTTAGATCTCTTGACCAGTTGCCTAGATCACTAAGCATCAGGCCAATGTGTTTTCCTTGATAGAGCTTGAGTACCATGCAAATTGTTTCCATATTTTGTTTTTATCAGTTTGCCAGAATAATTTAATTTTTTTATTTATTTATTTCTTTCTTTTTTTTAGGTTACTTTATTAAATTTCAACAGCAAACAAGTGGATGATATCCTATCTAAAAGCAGAATAAAACCTGCTGTTCTCCAGGTCGAATGTCATCCTTACTTCAATCAAGCTCAGCTCATAGAACATTGCAGGAAAAGAGACATTGTTGGTGTGTTTAAACATTCAACCCTGAACAACTCTTCCTGAGGGAAACAGTTCATTTGTGTCTTAAGGCAGAGTATCTAAGACATTACAGGAACCAATGAGAAAACAGATTAAAACTTCTTTATATATTACATTTGCACATTAGAATGCAAAATACCAGAATGTTATAAATGTCATACCACCTGCTGTTGTGCTCTGTATGCATGTGACAACAGTTGTCAGTCAAGGTTTGTGGGTTACAGTGCACTGTTACCTCTGTTGTCTTAGAGTTTGCAAGATGTGTGATAGGAAACAAGTCTCATTGTTGGATGTTATATGACCCTTAAGTTGACCAATGAGAGCATGTGTTGCTAGCTATATAGGCTGTATAATTATCGCTTATGAACCACTTCACTACAATTGACAGTTTCTCTTTACTCATACTTTCTGTTTGTAGATTGGAATTAAGTTCAATCAATTTATACAATAATTTTGTCGTTAACACAGTGACAGCATACAGTCCGCTTGGATCCCCTGGCCACCCACAGGCTAAACAGGAAGACTGGAGTCTACTGCATGATCCAAAGATAGAGGAAATTGCCAACGAATATGGAAAGTCTCCTGCTCAAGTCTGTATTCACTTTCAGATACAGAGGGGTGTCTCTGTTATACCTAAAGGCGTCACACCTGCCCACATTCAGAGCAACTTTGAAGTAAGCTTTCAATATATCAAGATTATGTGGGATTGTTTACACAATCAATAGGCCACACTTTCTTTTGGTTCAGCAGTGTAAGAACTCAGGCAAGATCTTAAGACAATATGGGAAAAGTTTATAAATGCACACCTGTGGCTCATGATTTACTAACTTATTAAGTGTTATACTTGCACTGCAAGGGAGTTATTGCTCCTGCAGGAAAACTTTTTAGAAAGTGATCTTTTGCTTTCATGAAACAGCTTTATATGGGTTTATTGGGTGAAAGGGCTGTAGCTTATTGACCAATCAGAGTGTGCATGATAATTCACTTATATTGAATTGTCAGCATAGACCAACACCTGTATCAGTTTATTGTTTGTCTGCAGTCTCTACAGTGTCAATATCACAAATGACCCTGCAATAAGCATGCCTGTAATTACCAGTAAATAAGTGAATACATGCCAAAACTAATCTAAAGAATTATGAAATAAAAAAACATTTAATATATTAAAGTTCACATGGCAACCAGGTGGGCAATCAGACATGGTTTGATGCTACTCTGGTTTGCAGATTTAATGAGTGTAACCTAAGAAGTTAGTCTAGTGCCTTCATCAGGGGTGATCATCACCCCTGATGAAGGCACTAGACAGGAGTGTTGAAACGTTGGATCTATGAATTACAACTTCTTCGGTTATATTCATTAAATCTGTAAACCAGAGTAGCATCAAACCATGGCCAAAAAACATGTATTAAGCAAAAGCAGAGGAAGAATGTTGCACATTGTATTTGTCAGTCAAGATATGTATTGCCACCCACACATGGTTCTTCTTCATGTTTTGGTTTGAATCAAGCTGATGGTTTTTATCTTTTCAAATTGGCTTGGTACTCATTGAAACAAACAATATTTTAGCAATTATGAGCAAAAGGTAACAACATAACATTCCTTTAAACATATGCAGGTCTTTGATTTCACCCTCTCTGATGAAGACATGAGGCTCATTGAATCCATCAACAAATCTTGGAGAGCTCTTATTCCCATGAAAGAAGTAAGTGGTACTGTCCCCTCCTTCCCCACTCTGTCCTCACTTTCCAACCCCTCCCTGCCACTTTTTTCTCTGTTTTACTCAATCACCCACCACTCTCTGACCTTGCCTGTTCTTCATACAGAGACAGCAAAGCATTCTGAAACTTAATGGGTGGTTCATCCTGCACCATACCAAACCTTAGGCCATACTTTTACTCTGAAGCTTCCCTTAATGGCTGTGGCATGGTTTGTCGGCTCATACCACCCCTATGGCATTCTTATTAGTGTCCACTATTTTTCCCCCCCACCGGCTCTGAAATATTCTTATTGACCTTCCCCCCTTAAAAAAAATATATGGATATATATATATATATATATATATATATAAATAAATAAATAAATAAATAAAGTGCCCTAAATGAAAGAATTTCTCTTGCCCGATATTTTTATTTATTCTTATCATGTGCCTGCCCAATGAGATATTGATACTGTATCTTAATCACTACTAGGATTGAAAGAACAAACAGGCCATATGGCTGGAAGAGAAAATTGCACGCTAGAGGCTTTGCTCAAGAGTTAACCTTTTTTCTTTTTCACCTTTTTTTTCAGGTTGACGGTAAGAAAGTCCCTCGAGATAGTGCTCATCCTCATTATCCCTTCAATATTCCATTTTAATATTTGTCAGTACTATATTTGTATTACAAACTCTAAACTAATGGACTCAGAGTCATTGCCACTGTATTGTATATTTATTTAAGTAAAAAATTGGAAAAAAATATTTGTGCTGTAGAAAAATTATTTACTTGATATTTTATGTTTACGCATGCATTAGCTTTCTCCGGGTCAACGTTTTTTGGAAAAAACATCAGTCGATTTCCCAACATTAGCGAAGACGTTTCGTGGACCTCTGAATTTGTTATGATGAATTCCGAAGGTTGCCAGATGTAGCCGAACGAAATGCAAAATTTTTGTCGATATTTCGTATTAAATATTACACGCTATTTTAGCGTGTTATTGTGGAGTCAAGCGCCGTTAATTGGATTATTTTGAGTAGAAATCAAAATCAGTGTCTAACGTCAATTGCTGTTGAAAAAATAGTCCGAAATTATGAGCCATGCTTTTTAACTTCTCCTGTACGGGAGGAAACTGTCAGAGCGCATGACGAAGGGTTAACGCTCCAAACGTCAGCTTTAGAAAGTCTTTATGGTGGTCAATTCATTTTATAAACTCATTTGATCAAACCCACTTATCTTGTGACATATAATGAGTTTGAGTCGACAGGTGCATTAATTCTAATCGCGCTTAATTGTGTTAAGGGAGAAGAGCAATTAAGATTTTAATCGTTTTAAGTTTTGCCAACACTCCTTTTACAGCATGCACGACACAGGCATCGACATGCCAGTCTTATCACCATGACAATTATCGCTGCTATGGCAACAAGGAAAGCTATGACGTCAAGTAAGTAGTACTGGTACCAAGGGATGTTAAACACCTGAGCTCTGAGGTGCTGGGTTCCACCATGTCTGAGTACGTACTGTATCCAGTCACCAGCTTTCTCCAGGGAGGTCCGCGGACTGTCTTTCATTAGACAGGAAATGCGCATGGCAGTTTCCTTGAAGCGGAAATAAGACAATTCGAAAATTATTGGAAGGATTGGCTCATGCACCCAATGTGTAACCTCTCAGAGGCCCGGGAGAGCGATTTAAAGAGGGGATTTGAATCCTAAATGGCTGACACGAGGGTCATCTATTTCATCAGGCAAGAGCGAAATAGTAGCGGCAGAGCGAAAATGAAGGATATTGAGTGTACAAAAGTATCTATAAGCATACAAGAGTCTGTGTGAGGATACAACAGTATCTACACATAGGGGTATCAGTTAACCCTTTACACCCTAAGATCAGTATACATATTCTCCATACTGTTTTCTATACTTTTCTTAAGGTGCTGACAAGGAGAATTTTCTTAACAATCAAGAGCTCCTGTACTTGTTGATCATTTCCATTATTCTCATGACCTTAATATTTGAGTCAGGAGTGAAACTGTAAGGAGAAATTAGATGCTAGTCAGTCTTAGGGGTTAAAGGGTTAAATTGATAAAATAACTGGGGTATTTATGAAAATACAAAGGTTTGCATTATTATACGATTAAGAGTATCTCCTTTTTTCTTTTCTTTAAATGTGTTTATTTTGGCATGTTAAACCACAATATTTTTGTCAAAAGCCTTGCAAGAAATTTCCAAAACTTTAAGCTCAGAAAACACTTCTTTTCCAAGGTCACACATTTGTTTAAAATTCTCTTGAACTGACTGACTAATCACCTTTGAAAAAGGATTTAAAATTTTCTTTCCTTGAAGAACTAACCGCGTTCGAAACCTAAAAATTGTCACACTTTGCTTGGCTTGTTCACCAAACTTATGACTTAAAAAAGTTAATTGGAGTTTTTTAACTTCGGAACTCATATAAAGAAATACTCTACACGCTGTCTTGTTTCAAATTAATAAACTTAGATGTCTGATAAGCATTTTACAGAAATGCTTTCCTCTGTGTATCGATCCGAGTTGTCCTTCGCAGATGGCGTCCTCTTTTTACAGGCTTGTTATTAAATAGTTGTGAGCTTTACTAAATCTAGTTCATTCTGCTACAGAGGTTTTATCAAAGTCATGGCTCTTAAGGCGCGTTAGGCACCGGCCAATTTCTAAAATCAAATGTCACGTTGTCGCCCATGATCATAAATGGCGCCCATTGAGAAACTTTGTCAAAGCCGTTATTTCTCATCCACTTCCTGGCCTTGTGGAGAGACTCACTGGCGCTTTCACCGCAGAACAAATGTTTGTAGAAACAAGTCATGAACTGTTCTGTGGCTGTGTCATCCAGCCTCCATCGTGCCGCTAACACTGAACGAGCTCCGGATCCCAAGAACGCTCGGGCAATTCCAATAACTCCCTCGGTTCTAATCTGTCCACGAGCACTGTGACAACAACTAAGCACCACCAGTTTAGCTCGCAACTGAGTTTTTGAAATATCTGCCATCGTCAAAAGATACTCTTCTTCTCGAGGAAAAGGTGGGAGTAGGGTAGGGTGCCTAGGAGAAAGAGAAATTTCCCCTCTTTCGGGATCTCCATGCGCAGCAATGTGTATCAGGCTCACTGAATTTATCGCTTGGAGTACAGAATGCTTTGTAGCGGACTCTCCTATCAAAGGCCTTACGCCAAGAAGTGTTCCAATCATCTCTGCTTCCTTTCTTGCACACGGCAATGGTATCATATTTCTGCACCTTCCCTTGTAAATCACCTTTCCAACCACAGGGTCACCCACTACCAGTGCCCCGGTCTGACTGTGATAGTCTGGAGGACTGTCTTGAACAAGCTTTAGAGTCTTGAGAGAGGGAACTAACCGAATCCTGCATGTCTCTGATAAATACTTGCCTCCTTCGTCAGCCAAGGCTGCAAATGGCACTTGGTACACACAGGAATCAGGGACAATTATGATCTCGGGCTGCTTCAGTAAACTGGCCACAGGAGCAATGATTATGTTGTAACACAAGTGAAGACTTGTTTTGAAATCTTCGGTATCACAGTAATGCAGCCCTGATCGGTTGTTGCGGCGAAGTGACATCAGTTCTTTAAAAAACTCATCTAACTCAGGGACTATTCCGGTCACCTTGTTTGGGTCCAGGTTCACTTTCTTTTCTGAAAAAAGAATAGCTCCCGTTGCTTTAATGATCCAAAACCGTACCCCATTTTGACCAACCGAAATGTACAGGCATGCACAGTCTGCTTCTTTTGTGATGATCCCTTGAATGCCACACCAAGACTGTGGAACGCTTGAGATCTGCTCTTGAACAGAGTACCGAGCTGTCATCAAGTCGGTCAGGCCTCTTGCCCTTCTCAGCTCTTCGACGTAAAGGGCGTCTTCAGGCTTTCTAGTGGAAGAAAGCAACCTACTTAACAACTCGTAGGGAAAGGTACCGTACTCTTCTAGAAGAGATATTTGCAACTCATCGTTTTCTTTAAGAAAACCTCTCAAAGTTTCGAACTTTAGAATGACTTGAGAAAGATACAAAAAAGCTTCCTCAAGATGACCTTTTGACACCATTAACACCAATAGATTACAAAGGCAGCGAAACTCGTTCAAGTTGTGTCCAATATCCCTACTTAATAAGAGAGCTTGCTTAACGTGTTCTTCGGCTTTGTCATTTTTACCAAGAGATTGGTAACACAATCCTAACTTCTGGTAGCTGTCTACTATTTTTTCTCTATCACCGATGTCCATACAAATTGTGAGGGCTTTCTCGCAATATTCTTGAGCCTTGTCATATTCACCACACTTCAGAGAAATTGAACCAAGGTGTATGTAGTCTACTGCTTCTCCAATTCTATCATCGATACCCTTTCTAACTTTCATTGCCTTCTTTAGATAGCCGTCAGCCTTTGCATACAAGCCGAGTGAGAGAAACGTAGATGTAAGGTTTCTATAGCTTGTTGCTTCTCCATGTCTGTCACCAATTTCTATTGTGATAGCGAGTGCTTTCTCTTGATATTCTCGGGCCTTGTCATATTGACCGAGTGATTGGAACAAAGTTCCTAGGTTTCCGTAGCTTGATGCTTCTCCATGTCTGTCACCAATTTCTATTGTGATAGCGAGTGCTTTCTCTTGATATTCTAGGGCCTTGTCATATTGACCGAGTGATTGGAACAAAGTTCCTAGGTTTCCGTAGCTTGATGCTTCTCCCTCCCTGTCACCAATTTCTATTGTGATAGCGAGTGCTTTCTCTTGATATTCTCGGGCCTTGTCATATTGACCGAGTGATTGGAACAAAGTTCCTAAGTTTCCGTAGCTTGATGCTTCTCCATGTCTGTCATCAATTTCTATTTTGATAGCGAGTGCTTTCTCTTGATATTTTCGGGCCTTGTCATATTGACCGAGTGATTGGAACAAAGTTCCTAGGTTTCCGTAGCTTCTTGCTTCTCCATGTCTGTCACCAATTTCTATTTTGATAGCGAGTGCTTTCTCTTGATATTCTCGGGCCTTGTCATATTGACCGAGTGATTGGAACAAAGTTCCTAGGTTTCCGTAGCTTGATGCTTCTCCATGTCTGTCACCAATTTCTATTTTGATAGCGAGTGCTTTCTCTTGATATTCTCGGGCCTTGTCATATTGACCGAGTGATTGGAACAAAGTTCCTAGGTTTCCGTAGCTTGTTGCTTCTCCATGTCTGTCACCAATTTCTATTCTGATAGCGAGTGCTTTCTCTTGATATTCTCGGGCCTTGTCATATTGACCGAGTGATTGGAACAAAGCTCCTAGGTTTCCGTAGCCTCTTGCTACTCCATCCCTGTCACCAATTTCTATTGTGATAGCGAGTGCTTTCTCTTGATATTCTCGGGCCTTGTCATATTGACCGAGTGACTGGAACAAAGTTCCTAGGTTTCCGTAGCTTGATGCTTCTCCATGTCTGTCATCAATTTCTATTTTGATAGCGAGTGCTTTCTCTTGATATTCTCGGGCCTTGTCATATTGACCGAGTGATTGGAACAAAGTTCCTAGGTTTCCGTAGCTTGATGCTTCTCCATCCCTGTCACCAATTTCTATTTCGATAGCGAGTGCTTTCTCTTGATATTCTCGGGCCTTGTCATATTGACCGAGTGATTGGAACAAAGTTCCTAGGTTTCCGTAGCTTGTTGCTTCTCCATCCCTGTCACCAATTTCTATTTTGTTAGCGAGTGCTTTCTCTTGATATTCTTGGGCCTTGTCATATTGACCGAGTGATTGGAACAAAGTTCCAAGGTTTCCGTAGCTTGATGCTTCTCCATGTCTGTCACCAATTTCTATTCTGATAGCGAGTGCTTTCTCTTGATATTCTCGGGCCTTGTCATATTGACCGAGAAATTGGAACAAAGTTCCTAGGTTTCCGTAGCTTCTTGCTTCTCCATCCCTGTCACCAATTTCTATTTTGAGAGCGAGTGCTTTCTCTTGATATTCTCGGGCCTTGTCATATTGACCGAGTGATTGGAACAAAGTTCCTAGGTTGCCGTAGCTTGTTGCTTCTCCATCCCTGTCACCAATTTCTATTTTGATAGCGAGTGCTTTCTCTTGATATTCTCGGGCCTTGTCATATTGACCGAGTGATTGGAACAAAGTTCCTAGGTTTCCGTAGCTTGTTGCTTCTCCATGTCTGTCACCAATTTCTATTTTGATAGCGAGTGCTTTCTCTTGATATTCTCGGGCCTTGTCATATTGACCGAGTGATTGGAACAAAGTTCCTAGGTTTCCGTAGCTTGTTGCTTCTCCATGTCTGTCACCAATTTCTATTGTGATAGCGAGTGCTTTCTCTTGATATTCTCGGGCCTTGTCATATTGACCGAGTGATTGGAACAAAGCTCCTAGGTTTCCGTAGCTTGATGCTTCTCCATGTCTGTCACCAATTTCTATTTTGATAGCGAGTGCTTTCTCTTGATATTCTCGGGCCTTGTGATATTGACCGAGTAATTGGAACAAAGTTCCTAGGTTGCCGTAGCTTGTTGCTTCTCCATCCCTGTCACCAATTTCTATTTTGATAGCGAGTGCTTTCTCTTGATATTCTCGGGCCTTGTCATATTGACCGAGTGATTGGAAGAAAGTTCCTAGGTTTCCGTAGCTTGTTGCTTCTCCATGTCTGTCACCAATTTCTATTTTGATAGCGAGTGCTTTCTCTTGATATTCTCGGGCCTTGTCATATTGACCGCGTGATTGGAACAAAGTTCCTAGGTTTCCGTAGCTTGTTGCTTCTCCATGTCTGTCACCAATTTCTATTGTGATAGCGAGTGCTTTCTCTTGATATTTTCGGGCCTTGTCATATTGACCGAGTGATTGGAACAAAGTTCCTAGGTTTCCGTAGCTTGATGCTTCTCCATGTCTGTCACCAATTTCTATTTTGATAGCGAGTGCTTTCTCTTGATATTCTCGGGCCTTGTCATATTGACCGAGTGATTGGAACAAAGTTCCTGGGTTTCCGTAGCTTGTTGCTTCTCCATGTCTGTCACCAATTTCTATTCTGATAGCGAGTGCTTTCTCTTGATATTTTCGGGCCTTGTCATATTGACCGAGTGATTGGAACAAAGTTCCTAGGTTTCCGTAGCTTGTTGCTTCTCCATGTCTGTCACCAATTTCTATTTTGATAGCGAGTGCTTTCTCTTGATATTCTCGGGCCTTGTCATATTGACCGAGTGATTGGAACAAAGTTCCTAGGTTTCCGTAGCTTGTTGCCTCTCCATGTCTATCAGCAATTTCTATTGTGATAGCGAGTGCTTTCTCTTGATATTCTCGGGCCTTGTCATATTGACCGAGTGATTGGAAGCAAGTTCCTAGGTTTCCGTAGCTTGTTGCTTCTCCGTGTCTGTCACCAATTTCTATTTTGATAGCGAGTACTTTCTCTTGATATTCTCGGGCCTTGTCATATTGACCGAGTGATTGGAACAAAGCTCCTAGGTTTCCGTAGCTTCTTGCTTCTCCATTCCTGTCACCAATTTCTATTTTGATAGCGAGTGCATTCTCTTGATATTCTCGGGCCTTGTCATATTGACCGAGTGATTTGAACAAAGTTCCTAGGTTTCCGTAGCTTCTTGCTTCTCCATCCCTGTCACCAATTTCTATTCTGATATCGAGTGCTTTCTCTTGATATTTTAGGGCCTTGTCATATTGACTATGCGACTGGAACATTTCTCCGAGCTTTGCGTAACACAGTGCCTGGCCATGTATGTTTCCCATCGTTTTCATGATGTTGATTGCTGATTCGTAAAATTTCCAGGCCTCCATTAATTTACTTTGTTTCTGAAGTATTTCTGCCAGTTTTAAATGTAGCCTTCCTTTTTCAGCGGTGTCATTAGAATCCAGGTATAGGAGGAGTTCCCTCAGGTATTTTTCTGTACTTGTGTAATCCTTTATATAATCGTAAGCACAGATTATTGCCAAGTAGATGACACGGAATATTAAGTTTGCCAATGAACTATCGATAGCCTGCGCCTGACTGTGTAATATAATCAAACATTCCTTGTATACCTCGATGGCTTGCAACACGCGACCAGTTTCGTGAAGGAACACTGCGACCACTGTACCTATGAAGATAGCTGATATAGCTTCTTTTATGCTGTCCATCTTGACCCTGTTTCTTCTCAGTTTGAAAAAAAAAAGGAGAAATTAGTGAAAACTTATACACAGACTGTTTATCTTTAAATTTCAATTTTTATCTTCCCCTCCCTGCCTTGTATTCTTTTTGTGTTCACGCGCGGCGCACGTGATTTCACAGTTAAGTTAGCAAATCACGTCAAAGAACTCTAACCTTTACATTGGAAAACTGAGGTAGACATTTTTCGCATACTTTTATTTTATTTTATTTTATCCAAATGTTGTGGTTCATTTAACAAGTTTAATACATATTTTCTACGGAGTTTGGACTCTAGCCCCTTGTTCGTAGATCGATATTTTACATTGTCCATCAAAGAGGCCTAGAGGAACACACTTTAGTAGGGAGTTACTACATCACGGGCGACGAGTGGGGAAAGAAGAAAAGACCGAAATACGAGTGGTCAGCGGGGAAACAAATTTAATACTTCGTATAGAGACATATCAGTTATAGTTGCGGAAAACAATACTGTTATAAAGCCGAAATATCAACAGTATACTTCGCTAAATAAATTGTTAAGCAATTTTTCAAAAGTGTTGATGGCACATATATCTTTTACTGCTGTATTAAACAATAGAGGTATCGGAAAAGGCATTGGTGGCATCCGGAAAGAAACCAAGAAGAATTATATTTACGTTTTGTAACTTGCTGCGTGACGAAAAAAGAAAACCAAAACTGTGGTCTCCAAATGAATTCTCCCACCTTGCCCCGAAAAAATTTCAAATTTTCCGCAACATCACCTGTTCCTATTCGTAGGTCTGGCCAAGCCTTTATGGTCATTGGCTCCCGTATAGCCCCTAACTATGGCTTATAAATATAGGTGTTTAGTGTTAAATTGTAAAACTCCCCGAAGTCTACGGTAGTTAAACGAAAAGCGTCGGAGAATAAAGACATTTTACAACTACCGTTCGCAGAGTGCTGCTCACCCGTTTAGTTTTTTTTTTTTTTTAAAAATTCGGTGCGATGGCTGTGGTCAGTTTTTCCATGCAGGTTGTCTGGATATACCTTTCGCAGAGACGTTGGGGGGGGGGACAGAGACTCCAACACAACATTTCATCTGCCGTTCGCTTCGAAAGTTAAGTTTTCATCCCGAGTTCATTCGTTAAGTAAAATAGGAAAAAAAACACTTCGAACGGAAAACAGAATTATTTTAACGCCTGGATCTTTTGAAAAAAGGTCTCCTAAACGAGTGGCCCTGATTAAAAATATTTAAGCACGGTAAACACATTAGCCTTAACTTGGCTGTTTCTCGAAGCTCAGTGTTTTCCTAAATGTCTTTTTCACGTGAAATGAGGCGATTGCTTTTAACAAAACCGATTTACTGGGCTCTCAAGAGAGCTCGTGTCGCATCATACTGCTTACTGCTAATTCGAAACTGCCCAGTCCATATCTTAATAGGCTTTAATAATAATCGCATTTCCTTGCAACAAGCTCGCGTTTCTAGATATTAAATCAGAGAGTAGGTTTTATTTGATCTGCTTTCTAAATATATATTATGACTCACAGGTTTTGCATGTGTTCAGAAAATGTTCCATATAAGCTACCTTTCTGTAAAGTCCTGTATTCTATGGAGTGGTTGTTATAATTGCCCGTACATAATCGATACGAACTTTATTTGATAATCTTGCATTTTGATTGTGAAAATCCTTGAAAAAAGTGCATTATTTGTCGACGTTTTTGGAAAAGTGATATAAGGTATCGAAATATAAACAATGATCTCTTTTCCTTTATATATCTCACTCAATGGAAGAAGCCATAGCTTCTTTTCAAAGAGAGGGAAAGCAGTGAGATTTCTGTAAGCTGTTAATGTTGTTATTCTTATGATCATTTTTTTGAAGCTTTCGTAACGATGCTAGTGTTGTTTGGATTTCTACAACAGTCAGCATCGATGCAAATTGCCTTTTGAAGTTAGAAACGTTCGTTATTCCTTTTGATGAGGGTAAAGGGACTTGTATAAGATCTTCCGAAGGAAGTCAACTTTTTACTGGAAAAAAGTAAAAGACCTCCATGGTAAAAAGTCAAGAATTTATAAAAATTATATTTTTTGTCTCTTGTCACGCCATCAGACTGAAAGTAAACGGACAGAGTCGGCTTAAAGCCAAGAACCATCGACGAAATTTATACCAATGTGGCTCTGTCTTTCTTCCGGAGTCAGTTATTTCCCACTGAATAGGCGATCGCCCAAATTTCGGACAAAATTTGATGGGGCGTAGTTTGAGGAGGCCAGTTTTGTTCCTTTTCATAGACTACAAATGTAATGACCGTAAAGTAAATGAATATTGTTTCGTTTCGACATAAAAATGATACGTTACGCGTTGCCGTTTTCCAAAGACTTATTTGACGACTCAGGAGAGAAACAATCACTCGATACCAGGATTTTTATACATTCATGATATCTTCCTGAGCCAACTATTTAAATATTTAGGAAAAGCATTGGAGGTCATGTTTATGGCTGGCGAAAAGTTTCATTTTTCATGCGTTTTTTTCCTTTCGGGGTAAAACGTCATTACTCTTGTGTGCCGTAATATTTTTAATTTTGGATTTTATAGCGTCAAGCGGAAACTAAGGATATCGCCCGGCGCAATCATCCGTTTAGTGTTAGACAAAAATTTAATTTTCAAATCGTTTCCAGTTCTGCTGTATTCGCTGTGAACGGCCTGCACATCACGGGTCAAAAGCCCCAATTCCAAATTGGTAACAACAGCTTTACCTTCTTAGACTATTCAGGAGGGCCGTAACCAAAAGGATCTTCGGTTGTTTGTAAGCAGCTCCCCCAGCAGTAATGATAAAGAAACACCATGGTTTGCTCCTAAATCATTGTCACATTATGATAAAAACTCCTCTCCGCCCTCTTCCCCATTAAAAAAATTTACCCCCTCCCCCCTTAATTATCCACTACTACTGGAAAGTTTCGATAAGATTCAGGAAAAGAATCTGTGGAAACAACTTGATCTATTCAGGAAAAAGGCTTTTCAAGAATTTCATAATTATTTCCAAATTCTTGAAAAGCCACAAGCTACGGAAACCTAAGATCAGTTGGTCAATATGACAAGGCCCGAGAATATCAGGATAAAACACTCGCTATCAGAATAGAAATTGGCGACAGGGATGGAGAAGCAACAAGCTATGGAAACCTAGGAACTTTGTTCCATTCACTTGGTCCGATATAGCAAGGCCCGAGAATATCATGAGAAATAGATTTTCAACTTTTCATAATTCGGCACTACTTTTCAAGTTTAAATCGCTTGCCCGAATAAAGAGAATGTATAAACTCAAATAGATGACCGATGTTGTACACTCTTAGGAAAATTCCTCTTGTTGTAGTAGTTCAGGTTCATTATTCACCTTTCCCTCCCCTCCCTAAAACTGGTCTCATTTGTTGATCATCACTTACATGAAGCCAAGCGAGATCCTCTCGATCATGACATCACGTGATTGTTACGATATCTCCGTCTTATTTAGATTAACACCCTTAAAAGATAAACGGAGAGAGCAATGTGTTGTCTTTTTAGGGTAGAACACTGATCAAACCAGCCGTTCCTGTTATTTACCAACTTTGTCTTCGATGACGCAAATAGCACTAACTGGAAAATTAACTGCTCGCGAAGATATACTCATTGAGCACAAATAGCTTCCCGTTTCAAGACAGAAGCTCTAATTCAGTACTGTAACAAGTCTTGATTGTAATTTTGGGTTAAGAACCCAACAGTTCTTGCAAAACAATGTGTACTGAGACCGGATGTTACCTGTAACAAAAATTAATTGTTTCATTTTTGCATGCTCACAATTGTCATCGGTAAAAAAGTTAGACTTACAAAACCGAAATATATTTTCATCAAATGGCGCCGCATTAAAAGTAGGATAACAAATATCCGTCTCTCCTTATCTTTCCTTCATTGGAAAAAACAAAATGAATTTCATTTAAGATTTTGTGATGGCCATTCGGAATTCATATTTTTCACATAACGGTTGGAATTCTGCGCAAGGTTGGTGCGTTAGTAGATTGCCCTTCGGCTAACTCAGAGGATGTCGGAATTTAATCTTCAAAGAAGGTAGCTTGAAAGAAATCATCATGTCGAGTGTCGGTTAAAATACCAGTTAATTCGTCGAATTTAGTCAATGTTTGGTAGGTCTAAGTGGGCTTAAAAACGTTTAACCGACTTTGCCGTTTATGAATTTCTTTCAATTTCTATCGCACATGTCAGAATTCTCTTCCGTCAAGTCATTTATCACATCATTCACAACAGGACGAGGTTTGAAGCAGTTTTAAAAACCGATGTTCTAATCATGATGGAAGTGAATCAGGTGTTTTCACAGACAGTACTTACCACAATCTATAGCCTTTTCGTCCTTAAAGTTTTTTTTCCAACACACGTCATACGTCAGTCATATCAGGCAGCTAATAAAATGTGGTTGTCTGTTCCTGTTCGGCTGTAGGTTCCATAGACATTCTCTTCCCCAGGCCCGCTGAACGCAACGGCCAAACGTAAGCGCCAGTGGAAAAGGTCCTTTAAGTATTATCAATCACTTATTAATTTTGTCCGCTTGTCGTTGGCCGATTTACGTATTTGTGGAGCCGTCAGTCTAATGTATGCACTGAGCCCCTTTTCATTGACATTTCCCTTGGCGTGGAAACTGCGAGAAACTATCCAACATGAACATGGAAATATTCTCCACCGTCAGATATGAATTAATGGAAAACCGGTAAGCTTAAGAGCCAAGCGAGGAAAACGAATAAAGTCGCTCCAAGGGCAACTGCAGAAGAATCAAGGAAGTAAATTAATTTGTTTGTTTTCATAGTAAGAGGCGATCTCTGCAAGAGCGGTCCAAAGGCATTTCGCATCGGAACAAAGTTTTCCCTCAAATTTTGCCCAATAAAGTATCTTTGGTAGCTAGTAAATAAAACCATATTAGTTTCTAGAAATCTCTATGTTAAAACAAAATTTTTACAGCTCTCAAAAGACAAAGCTGCAAAAGGCCCTTTTTTGCCCTCTTGCGACATGGAAAATTTCAAAAGTTGAAAAGCCCGGTCCTCGTATCACACCGCATGCAGCAAAAAAATCTTTTGCATTCTTAAACTGTGTGATATATAAGGCGTATAAAGCGCATTTCAATTTTGATATTCGTTTATTCAGAGGTTCGTCATAATTTATTTAGACACTCGTTAGTCGACAGCTTTCTGAAATTGGTCAAAAGTGTTCTCTCTTTCTTGGTTGATATTGCTCAAGTCCAGACCAAACCATTGAAAACTCCATTTGGTTTCTTCTAATAAGATGTTTGGCAGCAGAAAAATATAAATACATCTTGTACCTATTAATTTTTTTCGCCGTGGTGACTTCAAACTATTAGCGATTTTGCTAGCGTGACAGCCGATTATGCAAATTAGTTCATTGAGCAAACTCCGACCGTTTTATATAGGTAGCTCAATAAATCTCAGACTTTAACCGTTTTAAATTAAAAAGATAGTGGGAAAGAGCTTTTAGTCCACACCGATTAATACTTTAAACACTCTAAAAGGCCAAAATTTGACAAATTTTACTATCTCGTGACGAAAGACGTCAACAACAACGTATCGAATATCATAATTTGATTAGCGCTCTCGGTCAACATTTAAATGCCAAACTCTTTTTTAAAAATTTGGCTTCTGTTATTTCATATTTGAGTTCTGACAGCTTACGCTATTCAAAACTGTAAGAACATTTCAGAACCAAACTACAGGATTTTATTTGGTACAACTGGCGATAACAGCACACACTGAAACACACCGTGACTAGTGACTCTGTCACGTAATTCAATCGTGTAATTATCTTGAATAGTACTTGTCGCGTCTTAATAAAGCAGCGAAAACATTGTCTTTTGGCTCAGAAATCTAGTCGTCACTTGGCATGAAGAAATTGTCTTAGAACCACGGGTGCCAAGTTACGGTGTGATCCCCGGCGAGGCTCAGTTTATAAAGGAGGAAGGGTTGCCAAGCTGGTTTTCAGTGGTCGTGCGTCAAGGTGAATGGGTACGCGTCTAAACCCGCGGCGTACTTCGGTTTCACGGGGAAGGTTAAGTTTGAAGTGAATTGAAATGAAACTACAGTATAAGTGCTTGGATTCTGCGTTGGACCAAAATGGGTTCTTTTCAACATAGTAAGTGGTCAGACAGCAAGCGATATACTGCGGAAGTAAGGTGAGGTATTTTTATTGAGAATTTGACCGTACTTTTTATTCCTAACAGCGGTTGGAAATAGTCCCATACAAAATCTTGTAATTTGGCCATGACTCTTATTTTGCAAGTTGATCATCTCACAGCTGGAGCTTGGGCTGCTTGTGGTTATACATCACTTTGTGACACTAGATTCATCAATGTTTTTATTAACTTCAACTTTGTCAGAAATATCTTATTTGTGCAGCGGTATATTTATATAGCCAAGGCCATAACAAATCAGGGCAATAAGAGGGCCAGAAGGTTATTCCATGTTTGTGCAATCCCAGACCAGACAGTGCCATGCCTGTGATGCAAGTGAAATTTTACATGAAACAGATATCTCTCTCAGTCATTGAAATTACTTGCACAAATTAAATAGAACTCCTTAATTTTGCCATTTTGCAGGATTCACTCTTTACTTAGGGTTACGATTACTCTGCGGCTGGCTTTAATCACTGCATGGCTTCTCCCATAGATCAGTTGTGGAAATTTCAGTTGTTAAGTAAAAACCATTTATAAGAAATGTGGTACAAAACCTGATTTGCCTCACTGTCACCTCAAGCTTTGGATCCTTTGGTTGAGGATGTACAAATCTTGTTAGTTCAGTGGGTAAATAGCCAACTTTCTCATAGTCTGAGGAAGACATTATGTATACTGCAATTGCATTTTTGTTATAGGGTTTGTCAGGTTCAGCCTTAACATTAGCAAAGATGTGTTTATTATGTTCATAGTGATACTCATACGCTACCTGTAATGCTTTCTGGTATTTTTCAGAATAGCAAGTTCCCATAACTTTAAAAGGTAGACAATGAGTGATGTCCTCCATTGATTCATACAGATCTGAGTTGGAAACTTAAGTCATCATAAGTGCATTATAATGAGCCAACTCATCAATTTGTTATGTATCCAAGATTCACCTACACAGTGGGGTACTTCAATAACAACAAAATCAGTTAACCTAAAGTTTTAGCAAACTTGAGCTACACATCTTGTGCATATAAATTGTATAAATAACTGAAAGGCACAAGAAAGGGAAATTTTTTAACTTGAAATTGTCAAAAATTGCATAAACCTGAAATAGGTCTTTTTAGACAGCCCACTTCTTTTGTGTTCTTTGTTTTCTATGGATAAGCTTCTGGCTCATTCAGAGTCGAGGTAGATAATAGTTTCAGTGGAAACTCTGTAGGAGAAAATGTCTCTTAAATTGAGCAACATAAAATCGCCCGACTTTGTCTCATTGTAGTTGGTCTCACTCCAATTTTTTTTTTCTGGTGGTCACCCAACTTTTTGAATGCTGTATATATTTTTCGGTAACCAGCTGCCGCTGCTGATCGTTACGCTGCTCGTTGTCAGAGACTTTGTGGTTCGTACATGACACATGTCAGATGATGAGTGTGAACATTATGTCAAGAGCTAGAAGCACCACCTTTCGTAATTTTTTTACATTGATTGGTTTGCATGATTGACGCAACCTTGAATAACCTTTTCAATCAGTACTTAGCAACAACCAATCACAATGTAGAGAATATAGTATAAGAGAGTGATTTCTTACAAGTTATGCAGAGTAGCTCTTTACACACCCATTGTAAATGGGTGAATATGAGAGTGGAACAAAACAGTTTGATTGAGTCTAGTTCATTGGAATTGTATCTCTAGTAAATGGGGCAAAGTTTACAAAATCGTTACGCTGTTGGGAAGAGAACTAATCTGACCAAGATTGTGAGCAAGGTTATTCATTGGTAGTTTTGAGAAACTGTAGTGCATCATCGGCGGGAAAGTTGGTCAAAGTGAAACACTTTGGTGGTTTTCTTAAACTGTGTACACTGCAGTGAATATTTGAAGGCCGAGTCACTTCAAACAGGAAACAGATCATTGTGAAGAGGCATGGCATCCTGAAATCCATTTGTATATTGTTTATCTGTCACTCCACTTGGTGTGTGAAGCATTAGATCATTACAGTATGTCTTGAAGTCCATGGGTCTTCCTGAAATTTTCCACTGTTAACATTGAAAGTACCTGAAAATACCTATGAATGCTGTTACTTTTCCAGGTGTCTGAGGAGCACATCATTTCTTCAGCTGAAGAATGTCAACCACCTTACTATGAGCATATTGAGGAGAATGAGTACTTATTTAACAGGTGGGTTTTATGTTTAATTACTATTAGCAGTGTTTAACTATTTCATAGAGCAAAATAGTTGAGTTTTCTACCCTTCAAACAACTTGTTACTGTTACCAGGGCAACATGTTTTTCATTTCATGTTTCAGAAAGAAGAAAGTCAACAAGGAAGTGCACAGAATGCAGTGTGATTGTACCTTAGATCCTGGTCAGATAATGGCTGTGACACAGACTTCACTATATGCTGAATATGGTTATGTACATTTTACAGTACGTGAACTTAGCAACCCACTGTTGAGGTCTTCTTAATCATATTTTTTGAGATAAGCTGAGCATGACCTGCCCTATGCCTTTTTATGGTATAAAACAAATAGATTCTTCAAATAAATTCCACATTTATATTGAGGTACAAACATCAGTGACACACTCAGCTGTGCCTTGTGCACTATTTTTTTTGTTCTTATACCACATTTCAACATCGTCTGTGGTCTCCTGGATCAATGTCAGTATCTGAACAACTGCACACCTACTCCTCCCCTAATTCAACCACAGTCATCTGATAACAAGTTAGGATTAATGTTGGGTTAGGGGAAGGGTAGGTGCTCAGTTGATCAGATACTGACATTGATCCAATTTTTTACTGAACAGATGGATGGAAACATGATTTTTTTCGTTGAACATATAGCAATATTTTTTAACAGATGATCCATGTTCTAGTGGTTGTGGCAAGGACTGTCTGAGCAGATTGTTGATGATAGAATGGTTGGTATCTTTTCCTCTCTTGTTGGTTAATTTTGCCAAAAGTCTTCCTTCTCACATCGTCATCGCCGATTACGTTGATCTCCAAATAGTAACAGCAGAAGTGCTTGCGGAGAGATGTGAAACAGGTTAGTGAAACTATCATACAACATTAAGATTGATGTTACTGAAATGGTAAGGGTTAGCTGTTGAAGCAACTGCCTCTTTAACAAAGATAATGGGTATTTTAACCCTTTAACTCCCAAGATCTAATTGTTCATTCTCTCCTCTAGCTGCTACACATTTCATTTTAAAGTAGTGATGAGAATTTGGTGTTCGATCAATTTAACAAGTTCTACCTGATAAGTTTGAGTTTTCTCCTTACCTGTTTCTGGATGATATATGGATATTACAGGGAGAAGTTTCATCTTAATCACTTCTGGGAGTTAAATATGCTTTCATGAGAGATGATACTTATATGCTGATATCAGCCATGAGAGGATTTCAAATTTATGTACATGTACAGCACTTTTTGCAGGGTTGTAAAGTGAAAGTTGAAGTGTTTAAAACAGAGAAGAAAGGCTGGGAATCGAGAACTCTTGAAGATCTGGAATTGTAAGTTTATATTTTTACTTTTATCTTCAGGAAAGAAATGCCTTATTGGTACTTAATTTTGCAGGTCAGTAATTTTGTGTTTTCACCTTCCTTTTTTTTTTTTTTGGACCAATCACAGAGCAGAGTACAGCAAAAAACAAAAACAATCCCCAATGCTTTTGTCACTCAATTAAAAATTGTAACTGTTGTCCAGGGATCAGTTCGGTATGGAGTACTGTGGAGAAGTCATGAGCTATAAAGATTTCCAGGAAAAAGCAGAGCATTATGATAGAGAAAACAGAAGACACTACTTATTCATGACATTGAGAGCTGATGAGGTAAGGAAGGGAAATCTTAACCTTTTCCTAAGAAGAGACAATAACAGCACTGCTGTGATGAGTGCTGATAAATTCTTTGGTCATTTTAAGGCTTTTCAAACCCAGAATTGATCAGTAGATCACTATACCGAACAGTTATGACATCTTAGTAAAAGTGAGCAGGATTTCAAGAGGGGCTGGTGGTCTGTTAACCTAGTAGGCCACTTCATATGATTTTGCTCCTTTTGCTGAATGAAATGACAATGATTAGTTTCACTGAAATAACCTGATTATAACTTCAAAGTGCACAAATGCATTCTCTGAGACCCAAGTTTTAGCATTTTTATGGAGGGAGGGGTGGGAGGAGGGTTGGTGTACCCCTAGATCCCTTCAAGTGGTTGTGCACATGTCAGGAGGTATCCCTTCTCTCCTTAGTCCCTCCTCCTTGCTGCCTTCTGTGATTCGTATCTAAAATCCTGCTTAACCCTTTAACTCTCAGAAGTGATTGACAAGAAACTTTTCCCTATTATATCCACACATTATTCAGCAAACAGGTAATGAGAATACTCAAACTTATCAGGGAGAAGCAGCTATCTTGATCTAGCACCAAGTTCTCATAACCAATTTACAAGGAGATGTGAAGCAGCTACAGGGGAGAATTAACAATCAGATCTTGGGAGTTACAGGGTTAACTGTAATTCAATTGTCAACTGTGTGGACAAAGAACATATTTAAATGGCATGTACTCCAGTCAGTTCAATGTTATGATCACCAGCCTGTTATCATTTTCAAATTCTTTATCAACTGAGTTACAGGGAACTCCATAGCCAGCCCAGTTGTTTACAAGATTTATATGTGACTTACACCTAGCATTGAGCTTGAGTAAATGATGTTGAAATCATCCATTGTGAGAAATTAAATTTTGATATATGCTTATTCCTTGAATCAGAGCCTAAGCTCTGATAAGCACCCTCTCCCAAATAGATGTCCATCCCTCAGGCCTTAAGCACCCATCTTAAAAGAAGCACCTCCCCCCTCCTTACTCTCTTTCCTAAATAACAGGGACACGAGGAAAACCTGTTTCTATTGCCTCAACCATTGGGCAATCAGTACAGGAGAGTAATATTAGCACCCCCCCTCAATTCAGTGCCCAGTCCTTCCAATAAGAACCCATCTTTTTTTTAAATATATTATACGTAATACAGTACATGTAGGTGGATTAATCACTATAGTTCATGGTTTTGTTACTTAATGAGTTATAGCTTCTTTAAAATTCCTTCTTTGTTCAGCTAATTGATGCCACCTACAAGGGGAACTTGTCTCAGTTTATCAACCGCAGCTGTGACTCAAACCGTGAAACTCAAAAGTTAGTTTAATAAATTGTTCAGTCCATTTTACCAGTTTATATTATGATCAATAATGCCAGCTTTTCACTTCTTTTTCCAGGGGTAATCTATAGTAGATTGATTGACAGGAAACTGAAAGAAAACACATCTACAGCTGTACTTAAATCCTTTAACCCTTAAGAGTGACTAGCATCCAATTTCTCCTCACAATATTACCCCTGAATCAAACCTGTAGGTCATGAGAATAAAGGAAATGATCAGTAACTGAAGAAGTTCTTGATTGCTTCACAAATTCTCCTTGTCAGCCCCTTAGGAATTGTTTAGAGAGCAGTATGGAGAGTGTGCATACTGATGTTCGCGTGTAAAGGGTTAAGATAAGAACTGAGTGGGTTTTGTTCTTTTGCTTCTCATAGTGGACTGTCCATGGCTTGTTGAGGATTGGATTTTTTTACTCAGAGACCTATCCCAGCTGGTGCAGAGCTCACGTTTGATTATAAACTGCAGCATTACGGGTAGGTGGGCAATGTACATGCTACTGTCAAAGCTTCATGTCTGTAGGTGACACTAAACTGAGAGATTTTAAAATTTAAGGAACTTTACAGCAGTCACACAGAAAGATGATCCCTTCTGAACTTGGAAGGAGAGGCTTACAAAAAATTCATAGTAAGTTATAATTTTTGTCATTAATCAGGAAAGTTGCTCAGATTTGCCATAATGTGAAGCACCAAATTGTCATGGATTTATTGGAGGAGACAAGCAAACACCTCTGAAGAACACAGTGGAAAGAATAAGTATGCAAAAAGATTTTTAATTACAACCCTGAGAGTGACCATGATTTACTTTCTCCCTGTAATATCCCCCCTAAGTCACACATTAACCCGTTAACTCCCAGAAGTATTGTACATATAACTTCTCCCTTTAATATTCATACACTATCCAATAAACCAATAATGAGAATACTCAAACTTATCAGGTTTAAGTTTTTATCTCGATCTAACATCAAATTCTTGTAACTAATTTACAAGGAAATGTGTAGCAGCTAGAGGGGAGAATTAACAATCAGATCTTTTAAACAAACTCTCCTTGTCAGCACCTTATGAAATGTATAGAGAACAGTACAGAGAATCTGCATACTGATGCCAGACTGTAGAGGTATAAGGTCACACAATTTAAGTGTAATTTGTACTTTTCTTTTCTTTCTCCATGTAAGCAACCCCACCTATCACAAGCTCACCAAGGAGGAGACGTAAAAAGCAAACAAGGAATTTGTCAAATGAATTTGATGAAATGAATTTTGTTCTTTAGCTTGTCCCAGATGAGATTGCTCATTTGCATGTATGTTTTCTGTTATGAGATACAGAGTTCTATTAGTAAATAACCACTTGGAAGTGAAGGGGAATTCCCTTTAAAAATGGGCTTAAAAATGGGTCACAACTTTTGTCAAATTTGAGGCAGTTAGAAAACATGATCTAGCGTAATGATTGATGAAATTCCATATTATTTCACCTACCAGATTGCAAGTTGATGTCTATGATATGAATTTGCAGCTGAACTTTGTGGCACTTTTTTTGTTTCACAAAGCTGTTGTTACAATCAATTTTTTCACCAAAAGACATTATTCTCTAATTTTGTTTAAGTTGGAAGATGAGGTTGAGAAACTTCCAGGTGATCACAGAGGGTTGGTACACAGTAACCAGGCATTGAGACTGTCCAGATTGACGGTGCAGGGAGAGACTATGGAACAGAGGATAATGCTTCTGAAAATCCTACAGGTATTTGATAACCAGTTCCATGTGTCTCTTGTAGAATCCCTCTCAAAGAAGGTTGGCAGAATTAAATCTTGCTGAAAACAAGAGCTTTTATTCAAATGAAAAACTTGGCATAGAGTAGCATGTGTGGATTTTTATTCTTTGTGTATGGACTTGCTTAAAATATCCATGTATGGATTAAATAAAAGTTTGTATAAACAGGCAAAGTTGTTGGAAAATAGCATTTAAGAGTACAAGATAACCACAAAAAGTATTGCGGGTAGTTTCCAGGTCACTGTCACTAGACCTCAGGATTTTACAGTAGCAAATCTGAGAAAGCATCCCTGTATGGAAGAGGCATGGTGGGTTTAATGAATATATTTATTTATTTGACTTATTAAAATTCATTGATCACCAAACCCCAGATGACCAACAAGTTTGTTTGTGTAATTTTGTCCTTTTTCCAACAACCTTTCTTGAAAACAGCTGTATACAGATGAAGAGTTACAGTCATAACATTCTGTAGCATATAAATGTGGTTTTTAAATTGCTTAAAATTTGTGCTCTTTGTCTACAAGTTTGTTTGATTGTTTTTTGTTTTGTTTTTATAGCACACCACAGACCAGTCATGTTTAAAAGGGTTCCTCAGGTATCAGGGGCTTTCTCTACTTTGGAGCTGGATGGTGGACAGTGGAGGAAAGAAAATGAAACTTCAGTTAGAGGTGATGATCAATGTGTACTTTCTCCTTATAGAGTTATATAGTAGCTCAGGAGAATTACAGGAATGATCATTCCAGAAAATGTTCAACAAGAAAGCAAATTTGCTACACCAGTGTAGCAAGAATTGTATGCACGTCAAGGATTTGTTAGTGTTTCAATTATCAACATGCACAGTGTACATGTACAATGATGTTTGGTTTGTCAGAAATTTTGAAGAGAGACTGGAGGGGGAAGTCACAAGGGCAAAACTGTGGAATGGTATTCCTGAAGAGTATTTATGGAGTTAGAGTTTTTTGCCAGTGATTATATATTTATCTCATATATAGTTTTATACAATGTGAACTGTTTTGCCGATGTATACATTTTTTGTTGTGGGGTGTTACAGTCCTACAGGCTAAGAGACCACATCTGCTTGTGGTTATGCCTGCGTTCTTGTGCGTCAAGCAACTAGGGGTACGTTCACTGATCTATCACAACTTATCTATTCGCATTATTTCAAATCTTACCCACTAGCTTGCCAGTACCCCTGGGGGGAGAGAGGCATTGTGGGAGTAAAAAAGGTGTCTCGGCTTGGAACACAACAACATGGCGGTCAAACGTTGGGCATGCGCAAGAGATCAATCATTGTCGGCTGTACGCCAATTTCCCGCGCAAAAGTCAATGGAAAACACGAAAACAATAATAAATCTCGCAAAATAAGCGAGAAAAAATTGGAATGTTCATAGAAATTTGTCCAAGGAAACGAAGAGAGGGAAAAGGAAACCGAGAGAATTTTCAAACACAAAGCTTATTCAAGTACAGGTATCCTGTTGATTTTCTATTCTGTTTTGAATTTTCTATTCTGTTTTGAATTTTCTTTTCTGTTTTGAATTTTCTATTCTGTTTTGAGTTTTCTATTCTGTTTTGAGTTTTACCAGAAAGGTTATACGTTTTTAAAACACCGTGAGTTACTAGCTGGTGTGGTTGTTTGTAACTCGTGCGAACTCGACTCAACAAACTAGAGCTTTACTTCAGATCCCTTGAGCCAGAGTCTAACGCGCTAAAACTGGGGCATCTTTTGCCTTCTTTTTGTTTGTAGGAAGTTTACCGAATACCGAAGAAAACTGCAACTCCAGTAAGTATTATTAAAGTGACACTCGAAACAGTGGGCATTTTTCCTCTCCGTTTTTATTTATTTATTTTGTATTTTGTCTTCGTTTTAGCTTTTTTATTAAAGCCGATCGTTGATGCAAAAGGAGAGGGTGAAACTCTCTTGTTGAAAAAAAAGAGAGTCTATTCTTAGTTAGCCAGAGTGTTGGTATCGCATTCCATTTTGCTGCTTTTAACTTTTGCAATTTGGTAGATGGTCTTAAATGTTGTTGTTGTTTGTTTGACATTCAATTGCATGATCGTCTGATTCTCTTTGTTCAGGCCAAGCAAGACCGTGTTGCCGAGTTGTTAGTCGCAGCTAGCCCAGCAGGTAGGTAAATTCTATTTTACATAATCGTGTTTATTGCTTGATTGATCAGTTTTTTGATCATGGAACCCTGATATAGTTACGCATTTTCATCAGAGGGTGAATTTTGTGTAAAACATGTGTGTGACAAAGTTTTTTTCAGATTTTAATTGTTGTTTCACGGGGGCAGGAGAAAGAAAGAACTTAACTTCCCATGAGGATCATCACAATTTGGAAAAACTGATTGTTAAAAAGTGATTAATTTGATGTTGTTTTTCAGGAAGTGGTGACGGTGATCATGCAAGGTGAGACAACAAATTGAATAAGTGATTGAAAAAAAGAACAGGTTTGAAGAATTTCTACGTTCAGAAGCTAAATTTTTACACCATCTGGGCTTGGAAATTAAGGGTTACCATTGATAGAGCGTTTTTCGATTGAGTGCCTTAAAACAAAACCAAAGTACTTATTATGGAAAGAAGAATGGAAAATACCCTGAAGAGCCAATGAGAACTCGGAGTAAAAACAAGCAAACCGCCCAAAAGGCAGGAAAATGCGGGCGACCAAGTCGTGATTGATTTTAGTTTTGCATCTGATTGGTCGAGAGAGTGACGCGAGTTTTTTCGGACCAATCATAGAGCAGAGTAGAGTGAAACCAGTACAAACCCAGATTACTTTGGAAACTCAATTAAAAGTTACTCTATTAATGGTCTTTGAATCTCTGATCTGATCTATGATTGTATTTCTGTAGGACTCCTATTGAGAACATCGGTTCTCCAGGAAAATTAGATGCCCTCATGAAGAGTTTACAGGACTCCCCCAAGCCCCTCTATCCATCTGAATCCAGAACTCCGCCCGTTTCTCAGGGATTCTCTACCTGTAGTGACAAGACTCTTCGAGTGCTACCCCTCCGTCAAAAACTGGTGACTTCAGTGCTTTGGAATTCGGAGAAGACGTGGATACCCAAGCGGATTCAACTCCTGATAAAGGAGAAGGAACTCATTCAACTTCACGCGTGTCGGATTCTGCTGAAGTTACTCAGAAACAAGCTTCGAAATCACAGACCATGATGCAGACATTGGGTTATCAACAGCGCATAAGCGTCGGTGTGGAGCATGGGATGGGCTCTTTCCAACATAAACCCGGCCGCATCAAAAAGAAAAAGAAAAAATGGAATCAATTGCAGAACTTATTCTAGCAACAGGGAAGAAATCCTCAAGGATTGGTAGATAAAAACGCTGGGAACTTTAACGTGAATCCTCAAACAAACTTAAGACCTCAGCAAGGTACGGCAATCCAGTGGAGAGGTCAGTCGCAAAATCCCCAATAGTCTTAGCTTGTATTTAGGCGTTATTAACATTTCAAATCTCGGAGAATAATTGTAAGTACAAAGTTCTGTCGTTTCTGTTATGTCATTTATTAGGATGTGAAATAATTTATCTTCTCAAATGCATCCATGTAAAATACTTCATTCGTTTGTTCGGACAGTTTTCCGCCGGTTGCTATCTATGTGCTCTTGTGAATGTATTCCGTTTGTTTTTGATGTCGGTGCTGTGCATTTTTCCTTGAAGGAAAGAGCTAACATTGAAGATAACTAGAGATAGGAACGAATCCGACTCCTCGTCTAGTTTGTAAATTATTTCACACAACTCTACTTTTACTTTTTAAAATTCTGCTGTCACTGTGTTTGTCTGTCACCTTGCTTTTTGACCATTCAAATGAAAGCTACGGAGAAGCCCTTTCATGTGGGACTGTTTATTCTGCTGTCAAAGAGTTGTAGTACAGTCGTTGTAAACCTTGTTTCATTCTCCAACGTGTTTCGTCTAGTTGTCGTGGACTTCTTCAAGGATTTTTACGTTTAAACACTACACGCCGGTATTTATATGCCATGGTTAGCGGCCATTGCGTGGGTCAAACACTATAAAGGCCTGGCCGGATTTACGAACAGGAACTAGAGAAGTTGTAGAAAAGTTTTAAGGCAAGGTGACAAAAAGATTAAAAACCGTGGCTCCCAAATCTTTTTCTCACTTCCAGCTTAAAACGTTCTTCACGTAATAACTGCCAACTATGGCTGATAAATACGGGCCTTTAATGTTCACCAGTAAAACTCTCTGAAGAAGTTTACGACAGTTAGACGAAACGCTTCGGAGAGTAAAAGAAGTCTTACAATAACCGTTCGCAGAGTGCTGTTCGCTGGTTTGTTTGAAAAGTAAAAAAGCTTAAAATAGTACGATGATTGATGAATTACCTTCAGTTGTCATACTCTCCCATCGACGCAGCACCACATTTTCTTTAGAAACTTAATCCCTTTATTTAATCGAAAAACAGACGTAACACGTAACACAATCGTCAGTCAAGGGAACCTCTTCATACTGATCCGTTTCATGTTCGAAATGACTCAGCTTTCAAATATTCGCTGCAGCGTACACAGCTTCAGATAACCACCGAAGTGTTTCATTTTGACCCACTTTCCCGCCGACGACGCACTACAGTTTCTCAAAACTACTGACGAATAACCTCGTTCACAAACTTAGTCAGATTAGCTCTCTTCTCAGCAAGCGGCAGCTGGTTACTGAAAAATATATACACCGTTCACAAAGTTGGGTGACCACCAGAAAAAAATATTTAAATAGTTAAGCTAACTCATCGGAACTCTTATAAAGAGATACGCTACACGCTGTCTTGTTTCACATTAATAAACTTAGATGTCTGATAAGCATTTTACAGAAATGCTTTCCTTTGTGTATCGATTTAAGTTGTCCTTCGCAGATGGCGCCCTCTTTTTATAGGCTTGTAATTAAATAGTTGTGACCTTTACTAAATCTAGTTCATTCTGCTACAGAGGTTTTATCAAAGTCATGGCTCTTAAGGTGCGCTAGGCACCGGCCAATTTCCAAAATCAAATGTCACGTTGTCGCCCATGATCATAAATGGTGCCCATTGAGAAACTTTGTCAAAGCCGTTATTTCTCATCCACTTCCTGGCCTTGTGGAGAGACTCACTGGCGCTTTCACCGCGGAACAAATGTTTGTAGAAACAAGTCATGAACTGCTCTGTGGCTGTGTCATCCAGGGCCCATCGTGCCGCCAACACTGAACGAGCTCCGGATCCCAAGAACGCTCGGGCAATTCCAATTACTCCTTCGGTTCTAATCTGTCCACGAGCACTGTGACAACAACTAAGCACCACTAGTTTAGCTCGCAACCGAGTCTTTGAAATATCTGCCATCGTCAAAAGATACTCTTCTTCTCGAGGAAAAGGTGGAAGTAGGGTAGGGTGCCTAGGAGAAAGAGTAATCTCCCCTCTTTCGGCATCATCATGGGCAGCGATGTGTATCAGACTCACTGAATTTATCGCTTGGAGTACAGAATGCTTTGTCGCGGAATCTCTTATCAAAGGCGTTACGCCAAGAAGTGTTCCAATCATCTCTGCTTCCTTTCTTGCACATGGCAATGGTGTCATATCTCGGCACCTCCCCTTGTAAATCACCTTTCCAACCACAGGGTCACCCACTATCAGTGCCCCAGTCTGACT